CACCTGTTACTACTAGCGTGGCACCTGTTACTACTTGCTTCTTGTTATTACAAGTAAGGCACCTGTTACTACTAGCGTGGCACTTGTTACTACTTGCTTCTTGTTATTACAAGTAAGGCACCTGTTACTACTAGCGTGGCACTTGTTACTACTTGCTTCTTGTTATTACAAGTAAGGCACTTGTTACTAGAAGCGATGCACTTGTTTCTAATAGCTTCTTGTTACTGCTAGTAAGGCACCTGTTACTAGTAGCGATGCACTTGTTTCTAATAGCAAACATGGTTACTGTGACGCAAAACAGAGCCGAAGAATTGAAGGGATCCATGACGGAAAGGTAACAGAAGGAATGCAGTTACAGTGAAGAACACGGGCCCCACAGCGTCCCTTTCTCGACATGCAACCTCGTGTTTTTGAAAGCGCACACTTGCATTTGTCGAAATATACGGATGTATTTGGAGAAAAAGTCAATTCGCTTTGTTCTTTTGTTGTGGCTGTTGAAAGCAGAACAAATGTTCTGAGAAACGAGCGTTTTCTGTTCTGAGAACGCTCGACACCAGGGGCTTTCGTCCGTGAAGGGCATTGAGATGTTTCTGGATTTGCACGGTCATTCTGCTAAGCATCTCGACGAAATGGGGCGAAAAGAAGACATAGACAGCATCATGAAACATCAAAAAAGCAAGAAAGAGGAGGAACCAACAATTTGTTATTTTGTTAGAAACCTCTTGTTTGTAAAGAATTTAAAACAATCAAACAAGTTTTGTCGACATATTCTGACACCAATTTTGCAGGTTTGGTTGCTTCTTTTACGGTTCCAACCCATCAGTTCAGAGCCTGGAAACGCTCTTGTGTGTTTGACACCGATGTTTAAATGCTTGTTTGAGCGAGCGTGGAGACGTTGGGAGCCTTATTGAGATGTGAGGCCCATATCTCCAACGCAGTGTTTCCCAAGCTTTGCTCCTTGATCTCCACAGACATTGACTTTGAGCAACTTGGTGCAAGTAGCGCCGGCACTCCGAAGCTTGGAACCGAAAGTTCGGATGTTCTTGAGCCGCTTTGTTGGGGTTTGAGCCGTGGACACCAGGACACCCAAGGTTGCGGAAGCAGAGGAGTGCAGCTCGACAGGTGCTGAGAAGAGCGAAGCAGGCAACCCACTGCAAGGTGAGACAGAGAACCAGGATCTTGGTGGATCACGTGGAGTGGAGCTTCACGCTACACAGCCAAGGAGAAAGAGAAGAAGAAAGAGAACGGAGGAAAGAAAAAACAACATGCGCAAGAGGACAGAGAAAAGGAAGGCAAAGGCACGGGGCTGCCAGCCTACGACGCTGGCAACATGGATCTTCCTCATTGTCAGCTGCATCCAAGTCAGTCTTGGACGATGTGGTCAATACGTGCAAGTGGAACCGAGCCCAGTTCTACGCTGTCAGAGACCTTGCAAGCAGGACTGCTCACCGGTGTTAAAGAGGAGCGGAATTTTCCCAACAGCAAGAAGAAGATAACGGTGAAGCTCGAGAAGCTGCACAAAAGATTGAAAGACAAAAAGGAGGCGTGGCATCAGTTCGAGGAGAACAAGTTGGAGGAGGAAATTCAAGCAGTGTAAAAAGAATTTAATGTGGCGACAGACCAAGACATGCTAGATACAGAGGTCAAGAAGGAGACAGAAAACGCGTTGCTGAAGCATCGCTCAGGGGAGTCAAGGGCCCAACTTATGGCACTTCAAGCCCAATTCGAAGCCTATGTGGCAAATCAGGCTGGGAACGTCAGATCTTTAAGCCTTCGTCTTGCCCAAGAAGGTACACATGGAGTCGAGCTTTGGTTGATGTTCCTGTTGCGAGGGAAATATTTCCAAGTCAGCAGGACAACTGTCTGCTACCAAGATCGTAGTATCATCGCGGTCAGCAAAAATTAATGCTGCAGGCAAGGCAGGCCAATCGAAGAAAGACGACAGCGGTGGACCTTTCTTATTGCATGGGTGCACAAATGTTGGACAGGTGCTGATCCAGTTGTACTTTACTGGATGCTAATGCCACTTTCCCAGGCATTTCCAGCCGCAATGGTGAGCTTTGGGATGAGCGGCTTCAGGCAAGCGGTCCAGATTGGATTATGTTTGCGTCCCACTGGAATGCACTCTGGGCGTGGACTGACGATGAAGTTCATGCTGGACACGAAGGTGAAGACCATGTATGCACTGTCCTATCTGTTCAATGGCAGCAACCAATGGCCAGAACAGAGTGGACCTCCGGGCTATGAAATCCAGTGAGTCCGCAGAGAAATTACAGTCTATTTGGAGAGATGCGCCGCAATGTCCATGGCAGCAGGAAGCATTGGAACTTGCAGGAACTTTGCAAGCCAACAGACGGAAGAAGGCTCAACAGCCAATCTCGGATGAAGCGAGGAGCTTGCACTTGTCGATGACTAAGATGAGATGGCAGATCAGAGAGGTGAAGAAGCAAAAGCTGCGTATGCATGTTCTGAGAAATTTGTGTTTCCAAGCGTGGGCGAGACGTAACACCGATCACATACAAACTTGGAGGCGTACCATTCATATGCAGGGAACCTATTGTATGGTCGACAATGGTTTGCAGCCTTGGGAGATGGTGAACTTGCTTCTTTGCCTTCGCCAAGCTCAGGGCACCCACTTGTTGCTGCTTGCTATGTTTACTTGGGCTGCCACCTCGTGTATTCGCTTCGAACATTTTCAACGCTCCTATTTTGTGGGTGAGGCTGACACCTTCCTGATCTTCAAGTGCTCTCAAGGCAAAGCCAGGCCGCAGGGGGTGCCCCCCCCTATGAGTGGGCTATGCCGACCTGATCTTCCGTGGCGCAAGCCTGTTGAAGATCGTGAAAGACTTTGTTCTTCACGAATTGCTGCCTGGAGCGCAGTACCTTTGGCCGGCCGTGGAGCTTCGAGCAGAGGAGTTGTGGCAAGTGACGGCGTCGACACCCTGGGTGGTGTCCAAGAAGATGTCCAGAGGGCGATTGTTGGAGCTGCTGCGGGGCACCTTGATGGACCTGGGGGTGGACCCTGTTCAGGCACAGGTCGCTGGCTTCAACCGGTTGCGCAGATTCTTGCCCACTTTGGGACAAATCTGTCGCTTGCGCCCCACTGACCAGCAATCCTTGGCCAGCTGGGTGGAGGTGCCTAGCGCGGGCGGCCCTACGCCACAACGCAAGAGCCGGGCGACCTGGACCATGGGCGTCAACTACGCTGGGCCGAAGGTGGTACACAGTGGCCTGCTCAAGGCTGCGTTGGTCCAACGGTTTTTGCACCTTTGGCAACAGAAGCAGCCGTCGTTGGCCCTGACCCACGATGGGCTGCTCCCGCGAGATTCCTGGTCCCGGCAGGACCTGGCTGTGGCCAATGAGGCCCTCCCCCATGTGGTGGACTCCTTGGACCTCCCGGCGATTGACTTGACCCCGGAGCACATGGCTCAGCCTGTGCTTCTGGGCAGACCTCGATGGACAACCTTTCCCCATCAGCAGAAGAAGACATTGTTGTGTCTGTTTCATCGTCTACCGCCTCTTCCTCAGCTTCTGATAAGTCAGCTTCCGCTTCTGATTTGGAAGGTATTGATGCACCAGCGGACCTTGGCTGTGAGGGGAAGTGGTTTGTGCAGGCCTCGAGAGTCCATTTAGTCACTTAGTCCAGGGCGAACTCGATGGCGGCCGCCTCCTCCCTTTCTGCCGGGACGCAGCCTATGCACAGGATCCCAAGCAGGTGGGCGAGGGCTTTAACACCCTGCCCAAGAGCGCCCTGTGTCAGCGATGCCTGGCCAGGATGCCTCGCGCTTTGTACAAGGCCTTGGCAGATACTTGCGGGTGGCTCTGTTGACAGCATACCCGCCGGCTGTGAAAATGACCCCGTATTTGCTGCCGGCCTATCGGTTTCCGCTACTTGACCGTCATGTTTATTGGAGTGTCTGCGTTTTTGAGGTTTTTCTTTAACAGTCTTGGTTCCTAGTTTGTGCACTGGTGTAGTGTGTGGTGGTTCTTGAAGCTGGGCCTTCTGCTCACCCGCCACTCCCGTATCTTTGGTTCGAGACTCGTTGTCCCCGCGCGCGTTACTTCGTGGTGTCAGCCATGACGCAAGCTGCCCACATCGACGTGTATGTAGATGATCGCGGTCTCTCCACGTGTTTTACGGTGGCCAATGTTTTGCCGGAATGGTCCAAGGAACTGGTCACCAAGTACCGTTGGGAGACACTTGAGGACTTCGTGCATTGGTTTGATGATGCCCAGCTGGAGGACTCTCTGTCGCAGGTCCTCCTCGGTACTACTTTGAAAGATAACCGGTTGGCCCGTTCTCGCATCAAGGCTGCAGCCATCAAGGCCACTATTTCTGACTCCAAGCATGTGGAAGCCCCTGATGAGGTCCTACCTGACAGTACCAGGCAGCAGATGTGCAGGGCCTTCTTGGCCAAGTACAACCTGACCCTGGACCCCATGTTGGAACCTTCTGATGCTCTGCACAGTCGTTGCTACCGCGAGTTTCGGACGCGCGCCGTGACTGTGATCCCCGCCAGTAAGATTCGCTCTCTCTTGCATCAGTCCACGCCCAGGGTGCAGGAGGCTGTCAGACTGGGTTCTGGCGTGCAATTGGAATTTCAGGTGGAGGAAGGTTGCATGGTGAAGACTGTGGTTGAATACTATTGGGCTTTGAGGACCCTCGCTTTGGCTTGGGGCTGGGCAGGCCTCTTCAAGCAACAAGACTTTGACAAGCAGGAACGCACCTTTGTGCCGTTGGACGTTGCCATCCACTACGCCGACCATGCCTTGCGATCCACTATGGAATACGGCCATGGCAGCCTGCTGTGGTTTGAAAAGTGTGACACTCTCACCAGGTCAACCATGGCTTCTTTGATCCGCCGGGGTTACACAGGTGGCAGTGCGCTCCTTGAAGCCCTGCAAGCGGAAGTCCACGGTGATCGACGCCCCGGAGGAGAAGGCGCCGCAGCCACGCCGTCAGATCAAGACTGACAGGTGGCCCACTGTGAGCCAGGTCAAGGGCGGCCAACGTTTTTGCAAACGTTGGAACGATGGCCGCGGTTGCTCCCAGGCCACGTGCCCGAACATCCACAAGTGTGACGTCAAGCTGCCCACGGGAAAGCCATGTCAAGCTGGCCACACTCGCCTTCAACACCAGGAATAGGGACAGCGCCCCCTGGGGGCCTGGGCGCGCCGGGGGGAGGCGAAGCACGCCCTTTCATCACCGGCGCTTGCGGTAGCTGGGCACCCCGCCGAGTCTCACCGGCGCGTCGTCTTTGAGTATGAGGCGGCTCCCCTTACGAATGTCAAAGCTTTGGCAGCACGCCTGAGGGGCGCCAAGCCTGTGTGCTGGCGTGGCAGAGGTGACCTTCCGCAGTCTCCCTGGGCCACACCTTTCCGAAGTACATGGCTGCTCAGTGACTTGTGGGCCGGCGTGGGGGTCTCTGGGAAGCCCTCCTGTCCATGGGGGGCCATCTCTATGCTTTGAGATTGCCCACGAGCTTCGTAACCTTCCTGAGGCCTCAGGCCTGGAGATTAATTGTGAATACTCTGCAGAATGTCGCTGCGGATGGGTGCGCCGCAGGCGCCTTGGCTAGGAACTCTCACGGGGGGTGTTAATGCTGAAACACCCCCGCCCGCGTCATGGATGTGGGCCCCAAATGAGGCTGATGTCCCCAACACTTTGCTTTGATAGGAAAAAGCCGGCGCCTGTTTTGTGGAGTGGTCCCTCCCTCCCCCTGTTAGACCCGGCCCAAGTCCTCCGTGCCCACGGAGTCGGTGCTATGCATCCATTCCCATGAGAGTTTTGGCACCCTGCTGATCGTGTGCGTGACGCCGCGGCAGCGGCCGTTGATCGTTTCCACCAAGATCAGCCCCCCC